CGTCCGCTATGAGCCGACGCGTAGTATCGCATCTATTGTAGAACGCCGCTGCCGGAAACCGTATTGGTTTTCGGACAAGTCGGAACTAAACCGCGACAGGTAACAGAAGAGCCTTTCTGCAATCACTCTTTCAAAGAGCTTGGAAACCGCGTCTAGCGGGCAAATTGGACGATATCCGCAGAGGGAGATTCTGCGGACTTGCCTACCTTCTTCAAGAGAACCAAACCGGCCTCTTTCCAACGGGTGGGGCACACGCCTGATTGGAAGCAACCACTGAATAATCGCCTCAAGCGGTCCACTAAAGCATCTTGGACTAGAACCCAAAGGAAAAGGCACACCATCAGAGCCGGCTACCATCAGGACGATCCACCACCTATCCAGGCCGCCTTAGTTGCCTAGGTAGCTACCGTAGGTAGTGTGTATCTAACCGTAGCCACCGGGCTACGGTACTTAAGATTGCCCTTTTTTACCAGTTATGTCAACAGAAGTTTACTGTTTGCATAACTAAATTAATTAATAAACATGTGAGTAATTTACATATCATGTTCAGATTCCAAATTGTGTAGATATAAAGACACTTAATTTAATTAGCTAGCATTGACGAAACCACTCCAGAAAATCCAATAAGAAGCTGTTCAACTTTCCTTCGCTGATATAAATTAATATCAATCTAAATTATCTTATCTTCATTGATTAGACAAATAAGATTACCTATGCTTATGGATTCCGTGAATACATATATCTAAAATTCGAATTGTGTGCCTTTCTATGACTTATTGACTTGGTAAATCCTGTTTATTTTGGCAAACAAACAATAGTGGTTTGTTTCGGAGAATTGCTTACTTACCACTAAGAGCTATGCTATTCAAAGATATAAGTAGAATCACTAGAACCTAGGTAATTACAATTTTACCCCTGCACTAAGTATAGTAGGTAATTATAAGTACCTACTATACTTAGTAACTACACTATTAGCATTAGCTAATGACGTCGTGCATAAATCGATACCTACATCAAGACCCGTTTACTGCGCGTTAAAAAGTAAATAGGTAATTATAAGTAGTCCGAGTTTTAACTTGTTGTTACAGCAAGTAGAAGCAACTACGCATAGGCGTAGCATCCCCTGCATGCTTAACTGGGTAAAGGTAGATAAGTGCGTACGTGATGGCCGTTTGAAGGAGTTTATGACAGTTCTGGGTTCATTAGGTAAATTTTTTTCTTGGGTCGAACACGAAAGTAACTACTCTTTTTTACTGACTAAATATTTTAAGTTGGCAAAAAAGGTATATCTATAGGCACGCGTAAGTATTTCTATGGGCAGGTCACATTTATCAAAGAACTGATGATCGTTGGAGTAGACGTGTTCTAGAGTGGAGACCATGACTAGGCGCACTGATAATCCTCATGGTAGTTTAGGGAGGCCTACGTCCAGCAGTAGACGAAATCAGGCTGATGATAATGAAGTATTTCTAATGTCTTCGTCCAGATCCGAAACAACAATTAGTCCTCATCAAACAAAGAATTGCTCCTTGCAGGAATGACTTGCGATTTTTGGTCCTCAAGTAGGTACTTACTACTTACTCTACTTACTCACTTGGGTAGTTTTCATGGATTGGTTTATCATTAGCCTATAAGTGCTTATTGCTGAGCATAGGCCTCTTCTTACACGGAGAAGTCTTGAGCGATACCTAATCACCACGTTCGCTCAAGGCGGATTGGCAATTTCAAACTTACAATTTACAAATTATAAGTTCAGTTTACCTCACGATGTTTTATTTACGTATCGTAGATCCAAATAAACTTTGACATTACATTTACATATAACTCGGAGAAAGTCACATTGGTACTTGTTAGGTTTCGGAATCACCCCCTCATGCATGAGGAACGTCTGTAGCTTTAGTTACCTACCTACGATTGTTTGGTTGCAGAGAAGTAATTTTTCAGCATAGCTGCACAGCAGTTTTAGTGTAGTACGTACTTAACGAATGCTATTGCATCGATTATCCTATTGTTTGCATTGACCTATATTTGTACAGACCTGTCATTTCAACTCAAATAAAATCGTGAAATTCGGTAAGAAGGTCTCTAATGGTATTTTGCAAATACAGCGATTTTACCAACACATCAAGATGGGATTACCGGGATTCGGCATGTGAGTAAACTTTTTTTTATTTGGTTCAAGATACTTATACCAGTGGATGATACTAGGTAGGTAGATATCTACATAATTATGTGTTTATAGATATGGAAGTATTCACACGTTGGTATGACACTAGCGCGTGACACGTTAGGTTAATCGAGATTAACGTCTATTTCGTGTAAATATTCAATAATATCAAAAGATAGGGATATTTACGTGATTTATATAATTTGGACCGCTTTTGGAGGGGAAGAAATAATTTTGGATTACTTTTGATTTAAACCAAATTTGTAGGCTGCGTGTGATGAAAATAGTCACTAACTGCATGTTGTGTTTGTCTTTTTTAATATTTATCACAAAAATATGTGTTTTAATTATTCATTTCTAATTAGTAACAAAATGGATCTTAGTCATCTGAATAAATAAATAAATTATTATTTGCATTGTTGAGATTCTACAACGAATCAACTAATTTAAAAATCCTTTAGTTCCGAAAAAGATTCACTTTCGAGGTGGTACTCTCGTTGGTACAGTATATACAAATGCGATTGTGGTTTTGGTTTAGATTACCGAATAAAGCAAAAACATTAGATGAGTTCCTTAGGGTTTTTGAAATTCAAGTAGCTTTTACTAACACGGAGTTTGTAATCATAGCTATTCAGTATCGTTGCCAAATTTGTGCCTGTCGGAATGAGCCCCGGCGCTATCTCATGGCACACTCTGCCAAGCAACGTTTGTCGCAACCCAAGGCCGAGCACGCCCTTATAGCAGCGGTAACCCATCTTTGAGGAGTGGCTAGAACGACTCCATGGCGTCCGCACCTTGCGCCTGACGCAGGTGCTTGCCGGACATGAAAGCTTCGTTAGGTGCCTGTTTCGGATCTGGCGGGAGAAAATGCCAGGGTGTCGTCATTGTGAGGCAAACCTGGAGAACACGGTGGAGCGTACGGTAGCGGCGTGCTGAGCACCACCGTGTCCTCAGGGAAGTGATCGGAGTCGGCGATCTCTCGCGTCCGGCCTTAGTCAAGGCCATGGTGCGGGGCGAGAGGAACTGGGAAGCCGTCGCCTCTATCTGCGAAGCAGTCATGCTTGCAAAGAAGGAGGTCGAGCGTGTGAGGAAACTATTCTCATCACGCCCCAGCCGCCGCAACAGGCGACATTCCGAGCTTTGGGGATCGAGCGACGATCTCCGGCCACTGTAAGCGCGAGCCAGCGGTCGGAGGGCAAGGCAGAATCAGACCCGTGAGTGCAGATCGTGCGCCTCAAAGAGCTAATAGACCACCAGAGAAAGAGCCAAACATGGCCAATACTGAGCCAGATTCGCGGGTTAAGCGCAATAACGTACCGCGGCCTTGGTCTGGACCAGGAGAAGGAACGGGGAGGTTTTTAGTCAGTAAGAGTCTGACACTCCTTTTAACCTAATTCTTGGCAAGAGAAGCGATTAGATTTTCCCTCCATAAAAAAAGGTTTGCAGTCTCATAGAAGTACCTACCTATAATAAAAGTTTCATCCACTGCTACATGAGAAACTGCTGAAAAGTGTAGACAACACTTTTATGTAGAAATGCGGCCTAGTCCCATTATCTTAGGAGATAATAATTGGCATGACGTTACGTAAAGTACGTCATAAACTTCCTAACCCTATAGTGATTTAGTACCTACTTTTATATTTTCCAGGATTACCGGTGTGGGATTGGTCGTATACTTCATGATTTGGCTAACGAAGAAGTTGAATGAGCTCCCAAGTCCACCCGGCGACGGTACGGAAGTGCCGCCGGCGGTGAGCGGCCCGACGTCGACGACGACGATGATCCATAAGTTCCACAACCGACACATAGGTCCAGCTAAAGGCTAAACATTTTCTTCTCGTACGATTTCATTATTGTTAAAATATGTTGTTACAATTAATAAATGTTACGTTTTAAGAAATGAATAAGAAATCTCTTTTTTATTTATATCAGTTGCTGTAGGTACCTACTAAGAATTATTTAAAATTATTTAAAACTTACTCGACCTGGAATTATAAATATGTCGTGTTGTCCACCCGGAGGTTATAGTTGAGTAAAAATGTGGCGGTGTGCCCTGCGTGGGCTGAGCAGCGTCTCATCCCCAGGGAAGCGATGAGTGGCAGTGGCGCCTGACATTCGGTCAGGTCAGGTCATGGTGTCGAGCGATAGGAACTGGTAAGCCGTCTTCGCCTTATGTGTAGTAGTCATAGTTAAAAACCGAGGCAGAGCGCGGGAGAGAACTATGTTCCACACGCCTCAACTGTCGCAGGAAACACTACGTGCGTCGGGGCACTGGAACAGATCTCCGATACCGTAAGTGTGCGCCTGCGTACGGTCCCTCAGAGTTCTACGTTCTTATCGTTGATATAGTCATGATGATCAAAGTCAAACTTATTTTTGAATGTCAAACAAACATTATAGATAAACGTGTCAGTCTGTCGGTCAGTCCTCTTGATAAAGCTATTTACAAAGTGTAGACTCTGATGGAGATGAACGAGCAGGAAATGGGCACGATTTACGTAGTAAAAAATGAAGATCCTTGCATTGCACGGTTGGCCCTGTGGCAGGGCAACTGGCTGCCGCGCAGCGTGTCGCGGGTTTGATTGCCGCATGGAACAATTCTTTGTGTGATTCACATATGTACATTAACATTGTATGTTTGTAAAAAAATGCCAGGGTGTCCTAGAGTGGGGCAAATTAAAAAAAAAAAACGGAATAAAATAAATATGATCGGTGCCGGACAGTGCCGGTGAATTTGTTATTTTATTTTCTTCCATATTTTTCAAAAGATTGCTTCCAAAATTCCATCCGTTCTGGATTAGGTAACGGGATCATTTTAATTTCTTTGCCTATTTCAAGGAATTTCAATTGCTGCCCACTTGGAGCCCACGTAGTTGTTGAAGTTGAAGGTATCCTGAAAAGACACAACAAGTACCTGTATTCGCTATACTAAATATACACACTACAATAGTCATAAATAAATCAGTTTATTTAAATAAATCAGTTTATTTAAATAAATCGGTTTATTTAAATAAATCAGTTTATTTATGACTGTTGTCATCATAGTGGTCACTCTTGAATGCGTCTTCTGAATTAAATAGGGTAAAAAAAATCGTTTCATTTCATTTCAATAACATGTTCTTCATAACGTGAGTGCAGAATAATGGGTGTAATCATATTGTGTATCATTGTATATACTTTAAGATACAAAGGCGTGTTATTATTATTTGTTACTCAACTTACGCAACATATTCGCAACACTTACCCGGTCTTAGCAAAACTTGTCCAAAGCGCCGTCATAGTTGCAATGATTGCGGCATCATTCGGTGTAGCAGGAAGTGCAGCATAAACAGCCGGTTGAAATAGATAAAATAACTCATCCCCATGACACGCTCCAGGTGTAAAACGTAGCTGAGTAAGAAACTTATTCAAGTTTCTAAATGAATCATAATCAAAATAATAATTATATAGTGATCGGCCAGTATTCTTCGGAAAAACCTCAGATGCAAATGTCGACGGAAAAATAACCAGAGAATCAGTAAAGTATTCTATTAAGCCGTCTGTTACTGTTCTGTTACTAAAGTATAAACTTATAGCATAATCTACAAAATTTGTTCTATCAACATCAGATTCAAACAGTAAGTAGTTAGGTATTAGACTACCGAAAGCAGCTCTGACTTGTTCAATCGTTTGGTAATTGTAATTTTGTGCCCAGTAAATACCTTCTCGGTTATTAACTCCAATAATAGCTGAAACGTTGAGATATTCCCTCTTAATTATTTTTGTTGGTTCTTCTGTTATAAAAGGTTCTGTTTCATTAGAAACTACAGTCTCCACACACGGTGTAAAGTAGTACACCGAAAATGCGTCATTAGTCTGATCTGCATACGAAGCTTCCACTATGTCTGATGCAGTTGAATTTCTAAATATTTGCAGTAATTCTTTAGGATCTGAAGTTTTGTAGCCTAATCGCGTAGCTACTATAGATGCTGATTCAATAGGATTGTATTTGAAATCTTGGGGCATCAGAACTGATCCACTATCCATAATAGCTCTATGAAATAATCCTTCGGCAGAATTTGTAAGAACTAAATAATGAACAGAAACTGCTCCGGCACTTTCACCAAATATTGTGACAGAATTGGGATTACCACCGAAGTACGCGATATTATTTTGGATCCATTTTAGAGCAGCCAATTGGTCTTTGAGGCCGATGTTTCCTGGGGCTTCTTTAATACCTAAACATAAAAATCCGAACGCCCCAATACGATAGTTGATGGTAACAACGATAACATTATCTTTTACTAAGAATTGGGGATTATAGATGAGCTTAGAGTTGCTACCAGAGGAGAATCCACCTCCATGGATAAAAACTATCACAGAATATAGTTCACTCGAACGCGATGGTGGAGTATAAATGTTGAGTACTAAACAATCTTCTTGACCGATGGGTTTTCTTATAGTAGAGAAGTATTGGTAACAAGCTACGTTTCCACGGGTTGCTGTGAACGTGCCGTTCCAAGTTGGAGGGCTGCCGGCGACCTGAACGTAGAAAATATAGTAAAAGTAAAATCACAGAAAACATACTGTAGATATTACATTCTATTACTAATGACACTAGATCACAAACAAAATTTAATAAATATAAAAACTTACTTGAAATCTTTCCGTTACAGATGCGTAAGGTATTCCCAGAAACATCCTTTGCGTTTTCAACAAATCAAACGATCCTCTCACCCTTCCTTGCGGAAGGTCTATCGTCAGCGAATCTTGACCAAAAAAGTTGAATGTGTTCACTTCTTCGAACTTATGGATTATTATGGCCACGAAGACACATTTCCAAACAATGGATTTCTTCATAGTTATTTTGAAGAATACGTTGTTATTTCTCACGTTACGTACACTACAACTTCGGCAGTGTAAAAGATTGTAACTGACATCAGTACTGGTAAAATTAGTTGGTAGTTGGTACTCATACTAATCATTAGACACCTATTGGCTGTTACATAAATACGATTATATCACAAGTAAGTTGGGGTTTAATACCTCGTTAATTGCAATTCTTTATAAAGATAAGTGTCTTCAGTTATCGACTAACTACTTTTTGTTAATGTAAATTAGGTACTACTGATGTCGCATTTCGCAAAGGTTTTAATTGTAATAGGTTAATAGAGATTAGTAAATAGAGAAATTTTAACAATAAAAAACATTTGCTCTTTCAGTACCTAAAGTTTTTAGGGAAAACGTACGTAGGTATGGTTAAAATACTACTGATAATATGTTATTTGTTTACTGGCGCCATGAAAGTAAAAGTAGTTCAAACACGATGATATTAAATGTATGGTGTGATCAGTAGTGTGGGGAATTATCTAATAAATAATGACTGCTGAACCACATATCTATCTAATAGTTGAGTACTTAGGAAGTGAAAGTGCTCCATGGCTGTTGGTTTTTAATATTTGTTACATATTTATTTTATTTTCGTGGCGGTCTTACATTAGTCGAGTTTTCTATGTGTTGAATGGGAGCCTGAAAACGTTTAGGTACCTAGTAAGATAAGTAGATGAAATTAAGTTTTTTTATCCGAATGAATATTTTGATGACCTATTAGTGATGAACATTGTGTAGTAATGCTTTGTTTTTATCAATTAGGTATCTCTCATTGAGTCATCTCAAGGGTGCCTACAGATCTGAGATCTGATTTTCTGACCTCGGTTTTTTTCGGTATCTAGTCCGATTTCTCAGAACGACCTTCTCTCGGTCTCTGGAATTGCGCCTGGCATAGGTACGGAAATGGACTTAGCTCACTTACTTATTTAAGCAGGACTCATAATATATAATTGATGTTACGTAAGTTATACATTAATCGTAGAAAACTAGAAATATGCGTTCCTTTGCCTACACCCTCCCTTCCCCTTCAGGGATTTTGAAAAGGCATGACGTCATGTTTGATTCATAACTTCTTGGCATTGTATTATCACTATAAAATACAATAGATTGTGTAAATCACAAACACAATATAAATCTTCAATCGAACTAGAGATCTCGTAGTCAGAAGTTGTAATACTACCTTTTTCTTCTTGGATATATATTTGCCGATTGTTTAATTCGACTATGTTTAGTTAAGGTAGTCTATTTTACAAAATTGAAACGAGTTTATATTAATACATATTGTATTATACTTCCTGTCTATTCAAGCTGTTCTGAGCATTAGCTATATAAACGGTAGCCCTGAAAGAGTTCAATAAGATCTAGTCAGCGTTGGTGCAGGAAGAATGGTTATTTTGTAAGTGCATTTAATTTTTCTTATTTTTCATACCCTGTGCTCTAAATATAGGTTAAATGATTAACGTAGCTTTATTTTAAATTAATTATCTGACGTTTTGCCGATACTAAACAGTGGTTTGTCTTGAAAAACAAGTATTGAATTACTTAATTTAGAGTGGTTTAAAAATAAAAGCAACATAAATAACTATTTTATCTGTAAAATGATAATTTGAAATATAGGCTAAATCCCTTCATCTCTGTGTGTGCTTAAATCTTGAAAACTACGCAACGGATTTTGACGCGGTTTTTTAAAAGATACGGCGTTTCAAGAGGTTGCATGTAGGGAATAAAATGAAAGTCAAGAACAATTTGACTATTGCTATTCTGAAGAGTACTGACGATATTACAGCAAACGAGATTTTTGATTTATAGTATAAGGTATTAAAATAATGAGGTCGTGGTGGCCCCGAGGTTAAGGAACCCGCTTCTCATGCATGAGGGTGTAGGTTCGAAACATGGCAAGTACCAAAGTGACTTTTTCGAAGTTATACGTACTTTCTACGATAATTTGACACCACTGACATACGGTGAAGGTAAACATCGTGAGGAAACCTGGACTTATAATTTCTAATTATAAGTTTGAAATCGCCAACCCGAATTGAGCAAGCGTAGTTATTAATGCTCAAATCTTCTCCGTGTGAGAAGAGGCCTTTGCTCAGCAGTGGGCACTTATAGGCTGATGATGATGATGATTAAAATAAAGTAAAGAAATGTTAGGGACTTTTGTGTATTTAACCTTTCAATCATCATATATCGAATAACTCTAGAATTAAAACAGACCCGCGAACCCCGGCGTTTGCTTCATTTAAAGTGTATTGAGTTATGTAATCAATGTTTCTAAGTACTACGTACTAGTCTACTATATATATATGTAATTAATGTTCAAATATTTGTCTCCAGTGCTGTAGTAGGTGCGGCGGTAGCCATCATCGGTGCGGCGCTTCTGACGGCCACGATGATAGACATGTTCCCGCGCTATGAACATATCACCACCACCACTCCACCACCCGATTCTATGGAACAGTATATGACTGCACCGGTGAAATCCATTGTCCTTCCATCAGATCCAGAGATAATACTACGGCGACCTTTAAAAAAAATCATATAACAAATGGGGATTTGATCAGTTTATCGTATGTAGGCGGTTATATTTATTTTTAAATAGGATACTGATTTTTGACTGAGACACAATAGAAAATACGTTGTTAACCATTCAGATCCGACAAACCGTTCCATATAAAACGATCATGTCAACTGCTTACAAATATTTTCGCTTGATATTGTTGATGTAGTTGTCCTGCCAATACTGCCAATAATTTGGAGTCGGTGCGATGATGATTTTTTTCCTAAGTAGGCAAATATAATTAAGTAGTTAGAAGTAATGTAACGTTAGCTGTAAATAGTTAAAATAAAAAGAGGGCATTTTTTTTTAATCTTAAGTAATTGTGTAATTGATTTTTTATTTGATCTTTTTATGTTATTTGAGATCAGATGTATTAAAGTGAATGTTTAATTGTGATAAGGTTGTTTTATTATTATATAACGTTTTCGAATGACTTAAATTTGGCTCCAGTCCTGGCACGCAATTCTATCAGTATTTTTTGTGGTAGAAGAAATACTTCAGACCTTCTCACACTCTGCGTGGGGCGAGGGAGAGTGTTAGACTCTTACTGAGTGAAACCATCCCATTCCGACTCTTCCTTCGAGCCGAGCTGTAAATCAATGCAAATGTACCAGCAACCCCAGCTCGGTATCACATTATCTAGAGAGGTTGTTACGAATTGTCTTGGAGATATTTTTACGTCCAGGTACTCAGTATAGGTGCTTTTTTGTGAGGGGCAATCATCGAACGCCTTCTCCCAGGGTAAGGCGAGAGAAAGTGTTTTAAAAACTAAAAACACTCCTGCTCCTTCTCCTGCTTAAGGTCGAGGCCGCGGCGACTTATTGTGCCTACACCGCAACCCCGGCTGAGCTCAGTACAGGTGCTGCTGTTGAGTTTGGTCCCGGTACCTAGATGGATAAGACGAGTAGATAGATGAAAATGATGATTATTATATGAAATAATATCAAGTTTCACGTTTTATTCAAGCCCTAATTAGTTTTAAGGCCACGAGGAAGTGGCCCCATTACCTACTATTAGGCAAGTTTACAAAACAGGGCAGCTAGATAAATATTATGTGTTCGTACTGCTAACAAGAAATTAGCTAAGGCAAAACTGACCTATATTTCTGAATTCAATAGCTAATTAGGTGTGTAATGTAAACTAACAGTGCGTAAAAATAGGGTGGCACAGGTCATGGCGTAATAATAGACAGCCTTACGGTGCCCTTGCTTATGGCTACGTGATTTTAATGTTATACAGGATATAGGATATTTCAACACATAGGTTATAGGTACAATATATACTTATGGATTAATCTAGTAGTACCTAATCATGGAATATCAAACCTCATTTTGCGTTTTCAATATTTAATGAACATAATTTTCAATAAAGTTGAAGATAGATAATGTTTACTTAATCAATTACATACCTAATAAATTATAGGCACTCTTACACGTCAAAAAAGATTTAGAGATAAAGATAAAGATGCCAGTCACCTGGTTAATAATCTAGTGAGACTATTTGCTCGTTCAAGTGTGTATAGTGAATAGATTCCTAAGGAGGAGAACGAAGAAGAAACTCCATGGTTAGGTAAACTTCTTCAATAAGTTTTCAAATGAAATTCTTTGTTAGATTAAGAAGTCGATTTCATTCTAACTTACGATTACAGTGTAGCTCTAATATTAAGCCAAAGAAACAGGAAAAGAATATAACGCCAAGGACAATAATATTTAGACAGTTTAGAACTGACTAAGTAGTCCCAATTGATGGCTGACTTCCCAGTTCGCGAACACGAGTGCCGCCCAACTCAACCAGGTAGACCAGGTTTGGTTGTAAGTAAATTGGATGGACGTCTGTTTGAAAAAAGTAAAAACAAATGAATGGATTTTGATGAATTTCAGACTTGATGAATTGTAGACCAGATATTAAAGATTGGAAGAACATGTAGGCTACTTTTCATACTATAGTACCGCGGGCGAAGCCGCTAGCAGATGTTAGTGGGTACCTATAATATATTAAATCGTAATTGCCGTAGTGGCCTGGAGGTTAAGGGTCCCGCTTCGCATGCATGAGGATGTGGGTTCGACACCAGGCAAGTACCAATGTAAATTTTTCCGAGATATATGTACTTTCTATGATTATTTAGACACCACTGACATACGGTGAAGAAAAACATCGTGGGGAAACCTGGACTAATTTCTAATTATAAGTTTGAAATCGCCAAACCGATACGCGTGAGAAGAGACCGTTGCTCAGCAGTTGGCACTTATGAGCTGATGATGTGATAACATATTTAGAATTGTGTAGTTTTCAAAATGTTATCATCAAGTAAAACAATAGAAGTAGGTAAACTAGTAAATATTAGACGTCACCACGAAATATTAAGTAAACAAATATTAAGTCATCGTTTTCAAAATCACTTACTTAATGTTTTAATTACGAATATTGTATTGATAAACAATTACATAAAGGATGGGACAATGATGTATTATGAATAGGCTCATTGGAAAATAAAACAATAAGCAAGTTAGCGGTTCTGTGGCAAATAACTGTTGTCGTAAGCAGTATTGTCCATGGATCAAGTATTTGATCCGTGGTATTGTCTAAGGATCTCTCTAATCTGTAGTCTACTGTACTTACTGCAACTTACTAAGTACTTAAATTCTTAATTACAAAATCGATCTCGAAGTTTAAAACCAATCACGGATGGTATTAACACAAAAAGCTTGTCAACTTTGTTGTGGGTGTAAGCGCAATAATGTAGTTTTTTTTGTCCGCCGAGAATCATCAAATGACTTCTCCCGCCCAGGGTGAGGCGAGAGGAAGTGTCAGACTCTTACTAGTTAGTAATCGTCTGATAGCCCCTCTTGCCCCACCCACGGTGAGGGAAGTCATCGATGATTTTCCCCTCCGAAAATACCTAAAACTTATTTTAGCGCTTTATTTGGGAGAGCTATGCTTCGGTACGAATGGGTCGGCTCGACCGTAGTAATACCACGGCCTCACAGAAAATCGGGGTGAAACAACCACAGTGTCGTGTTTCGCCGTGTGAGGGAGGTTACCGGAGGCCCAATCCTCTCCCCCCCCAATCCCTAAATCTCCAAATCCCTAACCCCAAAAGGTCGGCAACGCACTCGTTACTCCTGTTGCGGGTCCATGGGCGGCGCAATCCGTTTGCTCGTTTCTTGACCTATCACATAAAAAATAAGCGAGATCGCTTGTCTGGGTTCTAACTTGCATAGGATTAGAAGGGCAATGTAGGTACCTACGTCCAGAAAATGTCAACTAATTAAATTGATTAAACTGTTTCTAACAGAAATATAAATTAAATAATTTTACTGTAAATATGATGAATTTGTTTATAAAATGTTCACGGAAGACAAAAGCCATTGTGATCTCATTACCTACATAGTATCATTCACCTACTTTTATAATTAGTATTGTTAATAGACAGGTACGGAAGTGGTCGGATATGTGATAATATTTTTCTACTCATCAAATGTGCCAAAGAAACCACTACTAAACACACAGTTTTAAACTGATATCAGAATAAAGCGTACAGATAAAGTCATCGTGTAAATAAAACAATACCTTTTAAATAAGTAAATTAATTTTATTTAGATTAAAAATAAAAAATTACGTAGTCCGTTGCTTTGTCTTCTGACTTCATTTGTCTTTAGTAGAAGACATTTTGGTTTCCATCAATGGCGGTTTAGGTCTGTATCTGTCTCTTTAAACCTTTGTTTTGTCGCAGATATAGCATCGGCATTCTCTTAATGCGGTGCCAACAAAATAACACGGTGACGATGTTAAACTTACATTATCGTCGGTCACATCCCATCCACACTGAAAAATATTAATAGTATTAGTTGCATGGGTGTCCAAAAAGGATACATTATGGTTTTTCGTCGATAAATTTCTTCTAGCCGTATCAGACATCAGCTGGGTTGCGTGAAGCTCAGTGCAATTGACGCGAAACGTTCTGCCCCGCACAGCAAAACTTTGGAATGATCTTCCGGCGGCGGTATTCCCAAACCAATATGACCTTCTAATCTTCAAGAAATGAGCGTACTCCTTTCTTAAAAGACCAGCAACGCACCTGTGACTCCTATGGTTCTGCGGGTGTCCATGGGCGGCGCCGATCTCTTACCATCAGGTGAACCGTCTGCTCGTTTGCCTCCTATTCCATATAAAAAGTAATATGCTGCGGCCCTGGCTTGGAGCAGGAGAAGGATCGGGATGGAATAGTAATATGGTCTGGCACTCGCTTTTTGCCCCACCCAGAGCAGGAGAAGCCATTTAATTATTGAAAATCAAATACAAGCAAAAATACGTAGTCTTACAGAATTGGCCATTTGGAGGCAGTGTAGACGTCTGGCACTAGGCTTGACTAGTTTGCCCAGGATCGCCCAGGCTCGGCCCGCTCGTCTGTCTATTTTGAGCGCCTGGACGGCACAGGCAATGGCACATTCTTTAGCATTCATTTCCTCTGTGTTCTTTACACCTTCTTTAACTTCTTCTTCGGGATTAGTGATGTGCGTTCTCTAGTGGTGAAGAATAGAAGATTCGATTGAGTAGTCCATAGTTAACAAAGTAAATTACAAAATATTAAAGTATCACCAATAAACTATTCATTCTAAGACAACTATAAGAAAGTAGTTACTAAGGTGTTTCTATCTACACTAGAGGTAAAATTATGATTTTTTTTAGTTTGTATGTAGTGGTAATCTTTGGAATGGCTGGTCAGATTTCCGAAATTCTATAGCTCTGATAGATAGCATGTCCTTGAATGCTATATGCTATAAAACATCACGCTACGATGTATAAGAGCCGAGCAACGAGTGAAACCTTACACTGAAAAATAAATAAACTACTAAATACCTATATATGTATTCTGCTTTAGGGTTTTGTTCTCTATTTAGTAGAATTATTTCAATTACGTATCTACTTACTAGTATCTACTTATTAAATTCTTATTTTAATTTTGCTATTAATCTTCTATTAAAGAAAGTAAAATTATACAGACAAGAATTGCATACCATCCAGTCATCAGCGAGTGCAGTCCAAGCGTATGCGCTGGCTTGACGTCGTATAAGTTCCATTAGAATACTTCGTGTTTTCGTATTATCTCCACTCGACAGGGACATCAGAATACTAAATTAAAAGATTAAGATGTACTCGTGTTTTTGAGGACTTAGAAGAATAGGACAGATTCTTCTAATTTTAACATTGAATTACTTGTTTCACCCAGGGTGGGACGAGAACTGTACTGCTCTAAACTGTAACGGTATAAGTAGGTACTATTGTAATTCTAATGGCTGATATGTTATTAATATTATTGCCAATCCCATAAGTCGCTGGGGATATTTGGAAACCTGAATAATGGCCATAGCACATTATTCGGTCACCGCCATTTCACAACACCATCACGGCGTTGCTGATGAGGAGGCCTTTTATCTCGAGCGTACGCATCACATGTGACACACATGCTTGGGCTCAATTTTGAGGTATGGAAATTTTACTACGGGGTAATTCGGTAGACACTAATAGAGCATTTATATCCCAAAAAAAGTGTATTCGGGCAATAAGTGGTATTAGTCCAATGGAGTCCTGCAGACCATTCTTTAAAAAAATTAAAGTGCTCCCGATAACATGCCTCTACATTTATGAAGTTGGGGTATTCGTTAAAAAACATGGTAGGTTATTCGAGAAAGTTAGCGAAACCAGAAAGTATTTGTCCAGAGACCCGAGTAAGTGGTTCTTCCTATGATGTCGACGACTTTGTTTAAAAGGAACTGTTATTGTATGGCTATCCAAATATTTAACAAGCTACCTAAAACTGTAAAGGGTAACCACTGTGTAAATTTAAGAATGTGCTCATAAGGAAAAAACTGATTAGGCTAGGTACCATAAATTCTTAATATTGTATTATTTATTAGTTTTTAAGATTTTAAATTGGTATTTGTTTTTATTTTTTTTTCTAGTTGATAAATACCCTTTTTATTTATATTTGTATGCCGATGCTACGGCGAAACATGCAGAACTTATAACAAATGTTACATCTATGTACCCCGTGTTTCATACAAATAAAGATTTCTTATTTCTTATTTCTTATTTCTTATTTCTTATTTCTTATTTCTTATTTCTTATTTCTTATTTCTTATTTCTTATTTCTTATTTCTTATTTCTTATTTCTTATTTCTTATTTCTTATTTCTTATTTCTTATTTCTTATTTCTTATTTCTTATTTCTTATTTCTTATTTCTTATTTCTTATTTCTTATTTCTTATTTCTTATTTCTTATTTCTTATTTCTTATTTCTTATTTCTTATTTCTTATTTCTTATTTCTTATTTCTTATTTCTTATTTCTTATTTCTTATTTCTTATTTCTTGAAGGCCAAAGTTGCTGTCACTGTGAACACCAGCATGGTATTGGCCGACCGCGTGATACATCGCTGGCGATTCGGCACGTAGAAAACACGTGGTTAAGGTTAAGCGCGCTAACTGTACGCTGTTTTTTCATATTAAGACTACTCGATATTCAATTTATTACTCAAATTAAAAGAGCAAACATTATTACTATGTCCAAACGGTTTCATATTATGGCATGGTAATTAATGGTGTGACACATTATAGTTCGTTCCATAATTAGAGACAACGATTTGACATTTCGAGTATTGCAAGTTTTTTCCATTTCATAAATAGTGAAGTCCCGCGACCGGTATTGACCGAAAGACCGAAATTAAATTCTGGACTTCGTGCATTTTAAAAGCTTTATTATTTTTAGCTACTTTCCCTGGTACCTTCCTGTGCCCATACTAACTCAGTCGGGTTAAAATCACAATGGTAAGGAGGCAAAAGTAAAATAGTGACCCCCCTTTTAGCAGCCATCAGTCCACGACGTATCATTCGTAATTACTCTTCTCTTTCCGGGAAATCTCCAACAGCTCAGCTTTCAGCGTAGGTTCCTCAAATATAATGTTTTTCTTTTAGACAGTCTTGGATTTCGCATTTTTATTTAAAATTATTATTATTAATTCGACTAAACTATAAAAAACATCACCGCAACGTTGTTTTATTTTGCTCAGGGTATTTTATAAAAAACGGTATCGGTATTTTATTGAAAACATCGTACTCTGGCCCATCACTATGTTGAAAAATCTGGCCACATTATTTTGTAGTTTGACATTTGCTGTTATCAAATTGTTGTCTCTAATTATGGAACGAACTATAGAGTAGATAGTTTGGAAGAGGCGTGTGTTGACATGTTGATCACTAATCCGGGACAATAGATGTGTTTACTTAAAAGTTAAATCAAGAAGCGCTTAACTTAAAATGTATAGTGGAAAATTGAATTTGTAAATTCAATTACCTGAAGGAACTAACGCAGGTGCCGACTTTTGCGTATGATGCAGTGGCAGTTTCGGCATTACCGAGCCTATGTTGGCATTCAGCTTCGAGACTCCTCAGGTAATTAATCTGATGACAAAAAATAATAGGAAATTGTGATTAAAGAAAGTAAGAAAGTAGCTATAGAAAAGAGGTTTTGTTTCGCCGTATGAGTGACGTTACCGGAGCCAATACTTCATCTCTCCCAATCCCTAAATCTGCAGAATCCTAGGCCCCAAATGGCCGGTAACGCACTCGTATCTCTTCTGGTGTTACGGATGTCCATAGGAGGCGCAATTTCCTACCATCAGGTAATCCAATTGCTCGTTTGCCAACCTAACATAAACGTTTTTTTTTTAGCGACTACATACATATTTGCTACATAAACAGCAGGAATCTATGGAATACAGGAATAAACCTTACCTCTCCGAATTTGTCAAGACCGACAGTTAGATGGCAGATGGCTTCCTTATACTGTCCTCGCAGACGACAGCACAGGGCAACTAGATGATAGTACGCAGTAGTTTCCCCCGTCACCGACAGCAAGCGAGCCAGACACGCTTCTGCCAACTTTAGAAATAGATGCCATTAAAGGGCGTTATTTTCTTTTCATTAATTGATATCATCGTATCTGTATTGTGACATACATTCAGTCAACAAAGTATCGGGAATGAATGTTTTTTTTATGGTTCCAAATTCGAATTTTAATTTTTTTTGTTGTTGTTAGTTTGGCATAACTGTTTTCCATTTTGGCGCGGAATTTGAGTTGCATCTGTTATTTTTATTAAAAACAGTGCTGTTTTTAGTTTTATAATATCTAGTGTGTATTGCGAATTTCATAATGGACAAAAACATCGAACAAAGAGTTTGTCTTAAATTTTGCATCGCTAATGAAATTTCGTGTTCGGAGGCACTCAAAATGTTACAGAAGGCTTACGGTGAATCGACTTTATCAAAAACACGTGCTTATGAGTAGTACAAAGCGTTCAAAAGCGGCCGAGATGTGATGGAAGATTTGCCTCGTTCTGGTAGGCCATCAACGTCTGCAACTGAAGTTAACATAGCAAAAGTGAAGGAAATAGTGACTGAAAAATTCAAGTTTGAGAGAGATCGCCGCCGAACTTTCTGTATCTCACGAGTTGATCCGTACCATTTTAACAAATAATTTGGGTATGAAACGTGTTGCCGCTCGGCTAGTCCCAAAAGACCTGAATTTTCTTCAAAAACTAAATCGCATGAAAGTCGTTGAGGACATGCTAGAACGAGTCAATACCGACCCAACATTCATGAAACGCATTGTTACTGGTGACGAGACGTGGGTTTTTTGTCATACACTGCAGGAAAACATCGTGAGGACACCTGGAGTTATAATTTCCAATTATAAGTTAAAAGCTAATCAATGCTAAAACCTTCTCCCTCTGAGAAGAGGCGTTTGCTCAGCGGTGGATATTATGGGCCGATGATGATGTTTTGAACGACACCTTAGTCTTTTATCATCAAGTTTTGCCTTCCAACAGAAGTGTACGTACAGGCATAGCTCTCAACCTGAGCAAAAGGTCAGCTGCTTCATAGTACAGGCTCATCCCTGGCAGTAGCGGCGTGCTGTCCCACCAGTCTCCCAGCTCTCGTTCCCATGAACGCGAATAGTTCCTTGCCTCTGGATGTTGTTCTTTACGTAACCTAGATAACATGAGTAGATTAAAATTTATAGAATCAGGCGTTACTTTGCGGAAATCCATGACATTAAATGTTCTGAAAAATATTTAGTTTTAATTCCACGATCAAAATCCAGGCTTGTTGCAGGATGCAATCCCACCCTAGGCAATCATGCATATGCACATGTAGCAAAGCTACCATCTTAACGCCCACATGCAAAAAACGCAAAAAAACGGAAAAACATGCCACGCAATCTAACCTATACTCGACACGGCAACTAAATATTTTTCATAACATTTAATGAGTAGATTATGCTTGGGCAGAATGAGCCTGCTCCAGCGGAGCACAGATACACCACGGCCTCACAGAAAACCAGCGTGAAGCAACACTAACGTTGTGTTTCGCCGTGTGAGTGAGGTTACCGGAGGCCCAATTCTTCCCCCTCCCCATCCTCAATCCTTAAATCCCGTATCCTAAAGAACCTACAAACCGCCGGCAACGCACTTGTAGTAACTCCTTTAGTATAGCGAGTGTCTATGGGCGGTGCCGATTGCTTACCATCAGGTAATCCGTCCGCTCTTTTGCCGAACTATGACATAAAAAAAAAACAATAATAATATCAAAGACTTACGTTTCAGCATATTGCATGATTGTATCTGCCAGATGGTATAGCTCACGTTCGTAGAAGTAAACGCTGGCGCAGGCCCAGGCGGTGGCCCAGTTTGGATTTAATTTTAGAAGGGCGAAAAAGAAGGGCTCGGCTGTTGCGGGATCCTCTTCAAACAACATGGCACCTTTAGATAGGAGCCTAAAATCATAGACACAAAGTATGGGAGAGAAGAAGGCAAGAAGTGTAGGAGAGCCTTGGTTCGGCTGGAATGGGTCGACTCGACCAGAGTGATACCTCCTTTGAAATTACGAGTGTCAATGAGCGGAGCTGATTGCTTACCATCAGGTAAGTCGTCTGCTTGTTTGCCGATCTATGACAAAAAACGTTTTTATAATAACTATCGTGAGACATACTAAATTAACTAAAATTCGCGGGTTACTCACGTGTAAATGTTGAGCCTACGTCTGCGCGACGTCGCCGCGTCCGCGCACGCTGCTCATGAGGAAGAACCCCTCTGTGGTTCGAAACTATTAGAGCTTTTCTCAACATTTACACGTAAGTAACCCGCGAATTTTAGTTGATAAAAAACCTCTTGTGTAGTATACCGGCACGAAAGGGAAGATTAGTTAATTTGATAGCATGCAGTAAGTATGGTATGGGAAAAGCATGATAAATACTTACGTTAAAGAACTTCGAGGGTCAAGTACAACAGCTTTGTTTAGACAAACAACGGCCCAGTCTCTATGTATGTCTTTCAAGCAAGTTGACAGTTCACGCCAATAATGAGGATAGTTTGGTTTATCAGCTACCAGCTAAAAATATAACAGTCATGGGCTGTAAGATGACAGAAATTTTGTTAAGCTGCAGACGTACCCCGGTTACCGAAAGGCCGATCAATGTTAAAATCAATTTATTCTCTTGTCAAGTCATCTGATTGGTTGACTGAATTATCAAAAACCAATCAGATGAATTGACAAGAGATTTAACAGGAGATAAGTTAATTGTAGCGTTGACAAGCCTTTCAGAAACCGAGCGGATGTCTATTTTACGTGAATATCATCGATGACTTTTTGTTGAATAGGTATCAAATGTAAAATATTGAAGATAGTAGATCTTTTCATCTATCATTTACTACTTTTCCTCTCATTGTTGTAATTCCGTTGTTGTATTGTCTATATGCGGTGCCGATTGCTTACCATAAGGGGTAATAAGTATACTTGTTTGCCTCTTATCCCACGAAAAGAAAAATATTATTGTCAGACTCATACTTGTAAATACAGTTCCACGGCATGTGTGATGTCTTGTGTCTGTCGAGCGTGTCTTGCTGCTCGTACAGCAGGTTCTACGTCTTGCCAAGTGTTCGTTTTCATCAGTATGTTAGACGCAGACCTCATAAGACACGCGTGAGCCATCATCACCAACTCCTACATAAATAATTCAATCAAGTGTAACAGCAATAAAGTAAGAACTATTTGGTTGCCAGTGATTGTAAGTCTAACGGTCAAGAAAAAGGGACCTGTACAAAACAGTTCTAATTCTATAATTGATTTTCAAAAAGTATAAAAAGAGAAATTTATTGAAAATAACAACTTACGTTAATTAATTAAGAAAAGCTCTTCTATAGTCAGACTTTTAATTCGATTCCTGATTTGACATTGACCACTGTCATTTTGTGAAATAATGATACCACATATAACAGTGTAGTAATGAACACAAAAATCGATAAACAATCAGTGAATCAGTTTCAGGAAGGCATTCAAAAAATTACGGCTACCGAATGGTCTAAATGTGTATCCGATGTTTTCAAAGAAGAGGAAAAAATGAGTAAGCTAGATATGTAAATTGACAATAAATTGTCACAGACACAATTCATAATAAATGCATTTAGTATTTACATAAAGTAACAGCGATAGCGATCGCGATGACGGTGACAATTTATAAAATGTCTGTTTTATTTGTCACGTCCCTTCATGATCACATTTTTTATTAATTTCACACACAATTACAAAAGGAAAGTCTCAGATCGTTAATTAATTGTCAAAACTAAATTATCGGTTCAAAAATATTTTATTTCCTGATAAACTTAGTTTATGAGAGTAAATTTATAAACGAGAGGAATCGATTCAGAAATATTCGATTTCCATATCGAATAATTTCGCAACGTCACTATTTATTACGTGTCATAACGTTGCAACACCGAAATTGTCAAATCTGGAATGGAATTAAAATTCCGAGTATAGTTTTATTTTATGTGACAGGTGCACGTCGCGGCGACGTCAATAGTCGGCTGTGCGAAGTCGACGAGACTCACTCGCTACTCATAAGAGGCCCGTTTTGATTTGGAACTAGTAGAGCTTTTGTCAGTTAATTTCCGATAAATATACTATAATGACTCAAGCTAGTAACTATTCAAAAAAGTATAGAGAAAGTATATAACAATTACTTCGAATATTGCATCAGAATCTAGATAATTCTGAACGATAAAATTATTGTTGACAAAGATAGCAGCGTTCTGCCAACAAGACGTTGTCAGCTCCACTCGCGTCCTGGTCTCGCTTAGTTGACGATTGAATGTGCAAAACTCTGTAGCTCCTAAAAATATTTTTTTAGTAAATAAGCTATGCAATAAATATCATTTTTAGAAGCCTACAAGATAAAACAATAAAAATGTATTCGGCTTTTTCTGAACTGACTATTTTGATAAGAAACGTCATCTTGCAGTATGGATATAATATAGGAAAAACGCAGGAAATGTTTTTTTTTATTTTTTTATGTAATAGGTCGGCAAACGAGCAGACGGATAACCTTAAGGTAAGCAATCAGCGCCGCTCATGGACACCCGCAACGAAGGAGTTACGAGTGCGTTGCCAACCTTTTAGGAATTAGGGTTTTGAGATTTAGGGATTGGGGAGGGATCGGGGGAGGGGAAGGATTGGGCCTCCGGGGATCGGGGGAGTGGAAGGATTGGGCCTCCGGTAACCTCACTCATACGGCGAAACACAACGCTGTGGTTGTTTTACACCGGTTTTCTATGAGGCCGTGGTATCACTCTGGTCGAGCCGACCCATTCGTGCCAAAGCATGGCTGTTCCACACTTGTCCTAAATTTTCCACACAAATAAAATCATTGTTTACTGATGGTAGCTATCTTGTTGTTCAAATACAATTAAAAAAAAATAAACTGTTATGAAAATGACTTGCCATAATATGGTACTTTTCGTAAGGCATTTGCTGCAGCTCGTATGATTTTCTGCCAGTCCTTTTCCGATTGGCCACGTCCCGTACAAATTCGATTTTTGGGAACTTCTAATTCCATTTCAGTGAGCATGGCTGTTATTTCTTCTCTGTAATCAATTATGTTATGAAAAAATCCATAGTTTCTATGGATTTGAAAAAATGCCTAGTTTCTTTGGTTTTTTTTTTATAATTTCACTAATTACGACACTCCACGTTAGTTTGAAGGTCATGAGATAGTTTTGGAAGTGTAAATAGCAGTTAAATTAATATTTACACTAGAAATTTGATTTATGAAGTGTAGTTTTTTAACTTACTTCAATATCTTGCGTGGCTTAATAATGGCTTTAAGTGGTCGTCCTAATTGAACTTGTACTAATACAAAGGCGTCATTGCTATCATACCCGGTTGGTCTGTATTGATTTTCTGTCAAACTGCTTATAGATGTTACCACCGATTCAGTTGGCGCTCTGTAATTTGTTGAATTCAATTATTATATTTTCCTCACATCCACAAACATTACAAAACAGATGATATTTCAGAAATCTTATTAGTATTATTGTACTATAAATCTATACATATAGACTATGTATTTATAGTTAGACTAATTGGTTATTTATTTATTTTTTATTATTTACTAGCGGCCCACCCCCGCTTCGCACGGGTCCAACTATCTCGCTAACAATGAAAGGGTCCCTTTCCCCCAATTTTCCCCTCTACTTTTCTAATATTTTCTTTCATAAGAACCTTCTCCTGACAATAACAAACACAACAAAAAAAGAATTAGCAAAATTGGTCCAGGTGTTGTTGAGTTATGCGCTTACCAACACATTTTGCGATTCATTTTTATATATAAGATTAATTGGTTAATAGTTTGGTATTGTAAGGAGAAGGTTTTTTTAGAGTGGAGAATTGAGAGTTAGCGAGGTAGTTGGACAACTGTACTAAGGTGGATGGGCAATTAGTTCATAATATTAATTGGTTACAATACTCTTAAAGTTAAACAACTGATTCTTACCTACTGCTTTTACCGGTTTTAGCAGGCGGCGTTTGTACCCCGGTTGTGACGTCAGCGATAATCGGAGGTTTCTCATTTGGCGTAAGCAGTAGTTCACAGGCACACTCCTCCATCATCGCCATAGAATTCACCCATTTTAAAGGCACAGCAATGTAAATTGTGTGTTCTGAACAACAGTTTCCCTTCATAATTAGATTAGCTATATTAAATAAGGCTCGTTTATCGATTGGCAAACAAAACTTTTAAACTTACTTCCTGGAAAAAGGAGTTGGAACAAATTCATGAACGCCATAAAACTGTAGCCACCGGTTTCCCCGTAAATATGAATTTCCAATGGCCATTTGTAATCTCTGAGATGTTTCCATAACCATTTCTCGTCATCCGCCAGCAACAGAGTGCGATGAAATGAGCCCCAAACGACACTTTCTATAATGCCAAAAAATGATTTCAGAATTAGATCCTTTTAATATAAAATAACGTTAACACTAACCTAAGGAGTTAATGTGCAGAGGCAGTTCATGTACATGCCATACATAATTTTGTGTCGTGTTATGGGTCCCATGGATTAGGGGGTCACTCTGATGTCAAATATCGTTCATAATTTCAAACTCCGTGCTTATAGTATTTCCTAAAACTCAAAACGTCATGAATTCAGGCCTCAGCCAACGAGCCAGCAACAATTTTGAGCAGGTTTCGTTCAGTAGTCCTATCAATCAGTCACATAGTTATAAAAGAATACATTGGTTTGGAACATACGGTAAGGAAGGTTCTGATTCAAGTAATAAGGAAGGTCGATGTTATCCTCATTACTTATGTCTTCCAGCTTACATTGCAACTTTACATCACACTGTGTAAACAATTCTCCAGCGCATCTCAAGTTTTCCCATTTAGGGTAGAAATCCGTACATTTAAATCTTTGTTCTGGTTTATAGCCTTGACTGAACGTAACCAGACCAGTCTTCTGTAAAAAAAAACAGAAAAGCCTAACTAAATAATCATCGTCATACCTGTCTCAATCCGCTAATGGTCCAGCATTATCATAAATATATAGATAAAAATAGAGTTAATTCACTTGAGTGAGTCGCTATTTTGAATAAATTTGGAAAGTCTCACGATAGAAAATAAATCGATGTTCCTAATATGATAATGCGAAAGTTACGATATTTGGATGTTTGTTACTCAATCACGCCAAAACGAATGGATGGATCTGAATTAAATCTGGCAGAGGCATAGGATACACTCCGGAATCCGAGCGAAGCTACGGGCGTAAGCTAGTCTTTTATAATATACAAAGTCATCGGTACAAAAGAAATTAAATAAAATTATTTCTTACTACTACTTAAAATTGATAAATTTAGTGCGAAGTTTTTTAGACACTTCTGTTGATCTTACAGCTTCACAGTATAAGGGTGTTTTTGTGGCAGCATTGTAAACGTAGTCCTGTTCGAATGGTATGTACATGTTATAGGAGCCAATGAGAGTAATTTTCATCCAGTTAGCACCCTGTAACATCCTGTGGTGTGCATTGTTGAGTGGATCACGTTCTAAGACCATTTCTATGGTAAGAAGGGGTAGAGTATCCCAGCTCTTCGCATGCATTGCTGCCGGCGGGACCATTGGCTCCATACGTTTTCTTATGCACATCTTTTGTATTTCTAAAATGAATATCAATGATTGAATCTTAGGTCTCTAGGTCCTGGATATGCTACGGCCAGCCAAAGATTGATTTAAGTTTTGGTAACCTAACTGAGTTAATTTAGAAATTGTTGACATTGTTACGTTACTGTGAAGGAAAACGTCCTGGGGAAAGTTGAACTTGTTATTCCTAATTAGAAATTTCAATTCGGTTTTGAGCTGACGTGGTAATTAATAGTCATTCCTTTTGAGAATGCTTTAACCTGGACATTTGTCTCATAGGCTGAATAGTCAAGATCAAGATTCAACTGCGATCCTTAGGTCCAATGCTAAATTTGGGGGCTATGACAAAAGCATTCTTTATATTGAAATTGGTGTCCAACATTTGATTTATCTACTAAATAAAACATATTACATATGGGTAGTTTAAGCATTAGCATTGTTGCTAGGGGAAAATTTAAAAGTAAGACATAGTTAGCCATACCATCTGAGCCAATAAAAATAGGTAGTATATCAATATTGCAGCAGCTGATGCTTGAAGTATGAGATAGTTTAATGAAGCTGTCTATTTCCATACCCGATGAACTTTTACTGACATCTATATTCCTATGAGGTTGTATTTGAACTGAAAAGTACAAAGTCTCATCTTTAGTTTGTATTCATAGGAATTCCTCCAACGTTTAATCCATCAAAAAACAAGCGTATTCCTTCTTAAAAGGCGCGCAACGCGCTCTTGGTAGGGTCGTGTTTTAGGTGTCCATAAGGGGTGCTGATCACTTATCATCAGGTGATCTGTCTGCACGCTTATATTTTTATAGGCAATCTAAAATATTGATCCTTATTTGTTCATGAGATAGGTATAGCCTGATGACAGATAGACAGATGAACAAACAGCGGTTATTGTGAAGCAAACATTGAATGATTTTGGATATGACTAGAGCCAAACTGTTATACATATATATAGTATGTAATAATCACACGAAAAAAAGAAACGACTATGTTATTTTCCACGAGTGAACCCATTACAGATTTAAGACAGCAAACTGATTCTAAAAGACATTGCTATGACATACCGACAAGGGGATAATCAGCAAACAGGCACATTTTCTCGTAATCTGAGGGATCGTAGGCAAAAGAGCCGTTTGCTATAAAATTAGTTGGATCCTCATCTTTTGATTCTATAGATTTGATTATGGCGTGGACTAATAGCTGGTCGAAGAATGTCACTTTTATGGCAAAATTTTTAGGTTCTTGGTCTGATGTGCGAAGGCTCTTTATTTTTAAGTGCAAAGTGTCGGTTGGTGGAGCTGGTACGTCAACATCGTTTTGTATTGGGGCGGACTTGCTTTGGGCGATAGTAGACGTCGTCTTGGACTGAAAAATATATTAATATGGATATAAAATAAATAAAGTCTAAATATGGTCATCAAGTTTTGATACTGACCCTACCAAGAAACCTCAGAATATAGAACACTGTATTCTGAGCAAGAAACGTACGGTTAAACGAACCTCTTTTACTGTTTTTTTCCGCTGACTCATCTTGGTGGATTTTTATTTAAAAGTTTTTCCAACTTCTCTATGCTTATGTCCTGGTAATTATTTTCTTAAGTTTAACAAATTCAGTAGATATTTTTATAAGATTTTACGTCATACATCAAGGGAGTATGACAGCCTAAGGTGTCTTGACATTCGTTGTCAAAGTTTTTACTTTTAATTAAGTAGTTATGAATGAATAAGAGGTTCACTTTAAACTTTAAAAAATAATGTAAATGAAACACGGGCTGGGCAGAGGTGAATGAACATAACCCATAATGCACACTATATGGATATGAATCTTATATAGAAAGCGCCTATAACTATATTTAGACCCTACCACAGTTCCTAACTTAGTGGTTCTATAAACAAAAATTAAAAAGAAAGCTTCCTCTTTGCGGTTAAATACTAAGAACTGGTTTATGTAAATAAAAATAAAGCATCTTAAAATAATATCCATTTATTACATTCATATCAAACTTTATAATATTTAGGCACGGAAAAGAATAGTTGTTAATTAAATAATTTGCACAGAAACATTAAATAAGTATATAAAAACATCACAGAATCGGTAGGCCATTAGAACAAATGACTCCCCGGTCGGCGTAGGTCCATAAGAGGACCCTATATTCCTCGTCGGTGACCGTCGGGTTTAAGTGCAGTATGAATTCCTCACTCTCTAGCCTTCTTCCCAAAAAACCTTTTGATGGTTTAAAAATGGCATTTAAACAATTAATGTATTAATTTTTTATGACAACAATACATTATTCACAATCGTTGTACGCTACGGATTGTTATCTTACACAAGCATACAAAGCGGAAAGTATGGTTTTATAAATTATTGGCCAAACTCGTCTTTATTGAGAATTTTTGACAAATGAAAAACACTGAAAAGCCCTGATTTGAATTCGGGATCATTTACTTGCACAATGAACGTGTGATGTAAGTAGTAATAATAATGACTATTTAATTAAAGTCTGGATTAAAATTGCAGAGACTATTTTGTAAGCATATATACTTATGTGATTAGTGGGCTTTCAGATTCATACACACACGGACAATAAAAAGAAGTCAATCTCAAACAGAATATTGCCTTAACCCCTTACACTTTAAAACTAAACATTATAAATAAATACCTAACTAATTATAATCTAAAACAAATCTATTTACAATATAACCTGCTACATGAACAGGTTACTTGCGATGGTCTATGCACACAGGTACCATCACCATCCATACAAAATGCCTACACCCATTTAACAAACAAAAATTTTGCCGAAGCCAAATTTTACATTTACAGAAACAAATTCATTGAATCCTTTATTCGTGCCAGGTGTCGTGAAGATTGGTTTGGTTTATTAGTTAATTGGGTATCTACGTTGAGATTTGATTCAATTCCTTCATTAATTTGTACCAAGTTTAAATCATTATTGTACTACAAATGTTCAGTCAGTCTACTTGTAATTATATCTTCTAGAATTCCGAGGCCGGCTTGCGAGCGTGTACGACTAACAACTTATATTTAAAGTTTACACTAGTTTCGTTGTTATCGTACTTGGATACAATTTTCATATCTTTTAAAATGTTTAAGTAATCCTGCTTGAAATCTTCTTCCTTATCCTTCGGGATGTTGAATGGATTGATAGCTGTCAGCGCTTCTGCAAAACAAAACAGTAATGGAACATTAGTAAGAGGTTTCAAACTAAATTTAGATGGCGATATATTGATGACGCGGAGACTGTAAATCATGTCGCAGCGGTAGATGTAAACTAAATTCTTGTTGTTCAGAAAGCCCGTAAAATTTGAGGATAATTTATGTTAGGGCGTGGTTTGCTTTCATTGGTAATCAATCTGATTAAAGTGCTATTCTGATGAAACTACAAATATGGGAGAACCATGCTTCGACACGAATGGGTTGGTTCTACCGTAAATCCTTAAATTCCTTATAATCTACAAAAGTCCGGCTACGCTTTTGAAACTCCTTTGGTATTACTAGTGTCAAAGAATGACGCCAATGGCTTACCATTAGGTGATCCATCATACGTAGGTTGTTTGCCTAAATATCCGGTAAAAAATAAACTATTTAAACAAAACTGTACTATCCGGTGGACTATTCCTTAGGTTTGTTTGTGGCATTATTTTTCCGTGAATCAATATATCTGATAACATAATGAGGCTAAAATATCAATTAAGTACAAATCCAAATGTAGGTACATTTTTAATTTGTGTAGTAATTACTGCTGTGCTGTCTTCTTTCCTAATTTATGTACTAAAGATATTCTTATATCTGAGGAGTTTGTGTATTTGAACGCGATCCTCAGAACTGCTGGTCGAAATGGAACAAATTCTTCTTAATTGGATAGTTTCTTTATAATGGGTGGCTAAATAGGCTATATTAAATTACACGTTCCGATCAATACAAATCGATCTATATAATCGCGCCGACGTAGCGAAATCGATATATTATCAATTAGTGCGTCGACTAATTAACGATTAGACTAATGGTATTTTGATTTCGAATTAAATTATACATTTCCGTGACGTAAAAATATTTGAATGGCAAAATCAAACTAGTAACCTGAACCTATTTTACAAAGGCCAACGAAACAAATAAGCTTAAAATAACTTTGAACAATTCAAATGAATACTAACTCCACAAACTGCTGAAGTTTTCATACACATACACCATGTTCTTGCACTCCACCTTGTAGTCAATGAATCCGATTTTATCCAAAAGTTTCTTCATTTCTTTTGCTGGATCCTGAAAATAGAAATATCAATGCTTAAAAGGGCTTAGGGCGAATAAGTGCGGATTTTGAGGGCGGAGCGACAAGCGATCATAACTAGACCTATTGACTAAAACTCCCCCCGTTCCTTCTTCTGTTTTAGGTCGAAGCCGCGGTGCTACATTGCGCTTACCTCGCAACCCCGGTTGGACATCAGCCCTGTAGAGCCCTGTCTGTAGTGGTCTATTGGCTCTTTGAGGCGCGCGGAACGGTACGCGCCGTACACTCGGGTCTGGTTCTGGTCGGGCGGCGAGCTACCCTAACTCCCCGTCTCCGATCCGATCATAACTAGACCTAAGCGTGCGTCGCGTTTCAAGCGTGCTGCAAAGCGCCATTAGACTACGTCGATGGGACCCAATGCAAGCGCAATAGTATGCTGTGGCCTCGTCCCTAACCAGGAGAAACAACGGGGTAGTTTTAAGTCAGTAAGGCTCTAAAACTCTTACTCCGAGATGATTTTCTGCCCTCCAAAATAGCAAGTGAGTATTTTTTATAAAAAAAATCTCATATGAGATGATATTTTCCATAAATATCTCAGTGTTATAAAAATATTACTTTCTATTTCAAATATTAGAATGAGCGCAATTTTAAGTACCGACAACTACATATGTTAGTAGAATTTAAAAACGAAAAAAACATAAATATTTTGAATGAAAAAAAAAAACGTAGCAGGTTTAACATTTTACAAGTTGCGATCACATTACGACAGCTGAGTATTCGTGTTCAAAGCACACGTGTTATTTAAAACGTCAATATAAGCCTGATAATATTCATAAATAACATTATTAAGTATCGAATTTGAAAAAGTGTCGTCAGAGGAAAAGTTTTAAAAACAAATTTCATAATAATTTCTTATCAACTAAAGTGTCTCACGTCATTTTCATAAATTATAAAAAAAACATATAACCTGTTTTCCTATAACGTTTGGCAGAAACTACAGACCGGTTTTTTTGAGAGGGGGATATTTTAAACGACTTCCTTCATCCTAGGTGGAGCGAGAGAGAGTGTCAGACTCTTACTGACTAAAAACCCCCGTGTTCTTTCTGCTTCAGGCTGGCCCCGCGGTCCATTATTGCGCTTGATCCGTAATATAATAATTCACCCGCCTTACAGATCGGTAATGTTGTATCGTACTACTTAGTATTGTTTATTTTTTCATAAAGATCATAAAAAGTAGTAGGTTAAGGATGTTCAGACCTTATCTATACTAATATTATAAAGAGGTAAAATTTGTAATTTTGTATGTAGGGCGTAATCTTTGGAACCGCTGAACGGATTTCCAAAATCCTTTCACTGATAGACAACTACAATGTTCCTGAATGCTATAGACTATAAAAACATCACCTACCGACCAATGATAGCAGCGGTTGGTAAAATAGTGCTACAATAAAATTAGTTACCTGTGAGTCATGGTATGGCGATATGTATTTCTCGACATCTTTAAGCAGAGTGCTCCATTTGTTGTTGCGCGACAGAATGCGGTATAAGTCGAACAAAGGTGCGCCTGCGACGAATATCGTAAAGCATTCTCCATCTTTACTTAGCAAATCGTAAATGTTGCTGAATGCGCGCCTGAAAAAGAACAATTTAGTATTAGACATTAAATTGTTAACTACAGAAATATTAGTGTTGTTTCAGCGCGCAGGCCAAAAAGAGATCTCAGATCTAAATCTTATAAACGACGAAAGGATTTTTCATTTACCAAATGGCTTGCTAAAGTGTGGCTAAGATTTTGCTTGTTACAACCAACATGGGCTCATCATTATTGGCAAAAGAAAGCAGTCAATATGTATAATTGTTCAATATGTATAATTGTGTACCTTAAGGGAAGTACCGTTTGACGTAGCGTACTGGGTACTAAGCGTAAGTACTGAATATAATGTATGAGTGTTATTTTACATAAGGACATAATAGTCGCTACAAGATCAGTTTTGCAACCCTGCTATACATATAAATATAATACTAGGGACCCGCCCCAGCTTTGCACTGGCGCTACGCCGATACCAATTTTCTCCACTATTTAACGTATGTTGTTATACGTATAAACTTTCCTCAGTTCCTCGTTCTTCAGTCGTAGTTTTTTTTTCTAGTATGAACGATTTAAGCATTCAGGGATATAGGGACAAAAAAGCGATTTTGTGTTATACTACGAGTATCTAGCGATATACTCGTTTAATACTAGGGTTTGGTGTAGGTTACGGGTGCAGCGCAATCATGTAGAAGAAACGTAATGGTTTTTAGTAAGTAAGAGGCTGAAAATCCTTCTCGATTAGATCATTAACAACCAGTTTGTAAAGTAAAAATGTTGATATGAAACTGTAAACATTTTATTTCTTGCGGGACTTAGTCGGACGACAAAGGCACCCTAATGGAATAGGGCTCTTATCATCATCATCATCATCATCATCATCAGCCTATAAGTGCCCACTGCTGAGCAAAGGCCTCTTCTCACACGGAGAAGGTTAGAGCATTAATCACCACGCTCTTATAACAACATACATACGAATAAATGTTCCATGCAGGTACACAGTGTTATGGTAACAATCTAGCGTTTCAGCCATTTAATAGGTTAGCTATAAAGAGACCTAATTCTACTTTTACCGAGTTACCGAGAGGTTTGCGATAAATATGGCTCACATTGCAGGCGCAACAATGCGTTTGACATTGAAATTTCATTACTTTTGTTGGATTTTTCTAATTATAGATTGTAATGTAATACTTCGCCTTTATTTCCCTAATGACTAGGCGAGTCTATTTTCGGATTTCTAGGCTTTTAGTCATCAAATTCAGTGTTTTGTTTTGGTTTCGTTGTATAGTAGCGCTTTCGATTATCGAGAAAGCTAAATTCGAACCCCACCTGAATTGTAGAATATACATTTCTATAAAAGAAGGCTCAAAGGTTTTTAATTTTTTTATTTATTGTGTATCACACATTTAAAACATGCATATTTAATGAAGTAGTTTAGAATAATAGTAGGTACTGCTTTAAAGTAGAAAGTTTAAAATTAATTTACTATTACGTTTTACGTTTACAAGAATTTATATAATTTGACGCTAATGATATTAATGTTGAATTATGGTAGGTATATATAGGAACTTACTTTATTTATTATTTTATTATTTTTATACAGCTGAAGAGTTGGTTTGTTTGTTTGATCTCACGACTTACAGATCCAGATCCAAATTAAAAAACAAATATTATTTCTTGTTAGATGGTCTACTTATCGAGGAAGGCATTAGACTAAAACCTTACACGACGACCTAACCTTTTAGGTTGCAGTTTACCACTAGGCAAGAGCCTGCACTGCACCCAAATAGCTAGTCAAATTATTTACACGTTACGTACCTATGTTTTTATCTTAATGGTTTCTAAGAGAAACCTAATTAAATATAGCGAAACTGGTTTTAAGACGCCTTAAGAAACAAAAATACTTAACAGATTGAGATTAATTATGTTATTAAACTTCAATATGTCGAATTACCTGATGGTAAGCCATCGTACGAACATAAACACTAGCAACATCAGAGGATTTATAAAATCGTTGCCGGCCTTGTAGGGAGTGAGTGACAGTGACAGGCGTCGTTTCACGCCGGTTTTCTGTGAAGCAGTGGTATCACTCCGTTCGAGTCCATTCGTGCGGAAGCATGATTCTCTCACGTTACAATCCCATGACATAGTACTAGGGTAATTATCATCGATTCATTCATTATTCACGAGTCGTACTATATATTTGCTTACGATGAATTATATACTTATACATTGCACTACGAACTTATAAAGATGTGTACTCAGCAGAGATGTAGTAACTATTAAAAATGTTAACATGCGATAAAGGTAACTATCTCCTGTTATTATGGCTTATAATCCTCTAAAGGATTAGGATCTGATAGTCTTCTGAAGCTGATAAACTTAAGACGCATTGGATTCATTAAGCTATCGTGTCCGCATGTTAATCATATTTTAGTCATCTTGAATTCCTATCAAGTCTCGTGGCATTACACACGTCAGGCTGTTTACGAACAGCATAAAGGAAAATACAAAGTTTTATTATGATCTAACAACAACAGAACAGTGAAAACTCCATAAAATTATTCAAAGTAAGCCCTATAAGGTATAAACAGAATTCCCACTATGCTAAGTTAAAATATCCTTTAAAATTGCAAGCAATTAATTTAAATTATAACATTTATACGCTTTATTATAGCTATGGTCACACAATTGTTATATAATAGTTTTATACGTGTTTTTATTCAATTAAAAAAGTAGTTAGTGTCATACATATGGACAGTTGCTTAATTAAATAAATAAAATTAAACACTGCCAGCGACACATTTAAATTTTTCGAAATACCTACATTAGAGTTATATTCGAGAGAAAATATAATAAAAATAAATAATGCGGACTTACTCTTGATCCAGAATCCAGTGCAAGGCGTAGAAGGAGAACACATGGTCGAATTTGCCCTTCATGCCTTCGGGAACATCTCCTGCGATGTCCAGTACAGTGAACGAGGTCTGTTCGTTGCAATGGTGGTCATTAGCGAAGTTCACCATCTTCTCACTTATGTCACAGCCGAGTAGCTTGAAGTCAGTGGGGATGTACTTCTTCAGCATACTCGTAACACATCCGTCTCCACATCCTATATCCAGAATGTTGCTGATACTCTTCTTCCACTTAAGTTTCGGGGAGATGTCTTCTAAGAAGTTGAGTGCATCCCTTTTCTGCATGCTGTTAGCTTTTTCGTATAAAGCGGCGTTATTCATGGTTGATTTTTTGTTTTAAGATTTTTAGTTAACTTGAAACGATTTCTTATATTTAATTTTTTTGTTGTTGTTTATTTTCGGGTGCGCGTACGCGTGGTGAGTGGAGCGCGGTTTCGGCGGACAACCGCTACAGAAGCGAGGCACTGAGCATTTATACGTGCCTCGATCGCGTCTCACCAAAACATCCGTACGAGCAAGGGATTACCTACACATCGTCTTATTTTTATTGACAATTAATATCAATCATTATTTAAATAATGTCACGCTAAACGTTTAAATACTTTAGTAAAGTAAGTAATTATGTTTCATTATTAAGTAAGTATTATAATACCGATGAGGTACTATTAACGTAGGTACATCAGTTAAGTAATTTTAAATTCAAGTTACTGGTAACAATCTGTCCACGCACCATAAGTTGATTGGTGAAATATTGTTTTTTAAATTCAACATAATATATAAAACATTTTTTTTACTTCGTTCTTGTGTCTTTACACACATCTTTACAATTTCTCTTTACAATTTAAAACAGATAATTATAATAACAGTAGTTAAGGATTTTTAACCACTTAACCTCAAGAGCTGGCTAGCTACAATAGTTGGAAAGAAAACAAACTTTAGGATAGTTCTACCAGTTCTATCGGTATCTTTAGATTACTTTCATTTTGAAAATTGTATTTCGGGTATTTGTGTAAAAATAGCTTTGTAGGGAGTAAGTTGAGGGCTAACTGATTAAATTAACTTTTATGTATTATTTTATTGTATGTATGTGGAAAGCCGTTTTCTTTCTTATTGATGTAAAAAAATAATCACTAATAGTTCCTAGCGACTTAGGGAAGTCCCTATGTATGCTTTAATCTTTAAAACTGCTTAATGAATCTTGACCGGGGAAGGTTAAAAATAAATGAAAAAGAGGAGAAAGAAAAAAATACAGTTATAATTATAGATACATACGTCTCTCGCATTAAGAGTATTAGGCTTATCTAATTAGCCCAAACTCAATATGTTCTGTAGGGAACTTCTGGTTCTCTCAGCCACCTTCTATTTTCATCATCAGAAAAGCTCGACAGCTATAATATTTAATCTCATGAAATTGCCAAGTTTTTTTTTTACTTGCTATAAACTAGTGCTTGACTGCGATCTCCCACCTGATGGTAAGCAGTGATACAATCGTTGACGGTAAGGCGCACTAGTTTATTAAGAGCCTATTCACTCTAGCCTTGTAGTTTCGTTTCGTGATGACACAGGAAAAAAGGAGTTTATGTAATTCAGATTATTTCATTATATTATATTATATTATATTATTATTCCGTTTGTTTTATTAGTTTTGCTTTAATTTGGTAGACTTGTAACGAATTGTTTGTATATAAAATACATTTAGGTACAGGGTGCCCGTAAAATTGTAACATGGAATTGCCTTTAGAATTCCATTTAGAATATCTTATGGCCATTCAGTAAAAGTAAGAAAAATAATTTATATTTTTTATATTTACTAAGATATGATTTTTTAAGGATAATTATTTTTTTACCTTATTTTCTTTTTAATGAAGATTCTTTGACGAACATATTCTTTCATTTACTGTAGATTTACGAGTTATAACATAGGTAATAAAATCTACTTGAAACCGACATTTTTTTATAAGTACTTATTGGTTACTCATTGATTCATATTTTAATAAACGTTTAAGGTTTGTAGCAAAAATAAATTACGCACATTTTTCAAAAAAAATCCCTAGTCATGCTGTTTACTGTCTATCTATTAGTATAGTTAGTGTTTAATAATAAAACAAAAAAACCGATAGAATCTATTAATTTATGATCGTAGTGTTTATGAAAAGGAAATAAGGTAAAATTTGAAAAAACAAATCATGACTTGGTACTGCTTATGATATATATTTTTTCGTATTTTTTTTCTGAATTGCCATAAGATATGCTAAAAGGCATTTCAAGGTTATCCTTTCTTTACCGGACACCCTGTATATCAACCCATTGTCATGTCATAATAAATTAGCTTTTGATTCTAGTTTTTCTTAACAAATGTGTTGTTTCCTTGTAAATCTATTTATCTAAGAAAAACACGTTGACGAATTAAGAATCCCATACTTTTTAATCCAATTAAAAGTAAGACCTAATACGTTACTGTTAAGGTTTTAATTACATGTTAAGAACACTTGAAGCTAAGAAAATTTTGTAGATAAAAAACCGTACAAAATAACTCGAATTACAATTTATTTTAGCCCGTACTAACCCTGTATTTCAGTCATGCGTGGTTTAAGGATATTTATAGTATCTAATAGTTGATTTTCTGTAAATTTAAAAATAACATATTATCCTAATTTTTTTATTGATTAAGATAATACAATGTAATGAAAATATACGTAGTTTCTGACATACCTACTGTAATAGTTTTATGGATAAGCAATGGGCAACACGTTGCCAACTGGTAAATTGTAGGCGTTTGCAAAGTAAGGTTCAAGTTTCAAGACAAAAATTAAAAAGTGTTTGTGTCATTTAATTATTAATTTTATTACTAAAGTCACAGTTTTCTGTTAAAAAAACATACTTACAAAGTGTTCCTCTTACTTATTAATATCTTATTTTTAAATTGTGCACATACTTTCTATGTGATAGGATGGCAAAATCTGATGGATACCCTATTTTGGGTTTAAGAGATTTAAGGATTGGGAAGGGGATAGTTTGCGCCTCCGGGAACCTTACTCACACGGCGAAACACAACGCTGTGATTGTTTCACGCCGGTTTATATCAATGCGTACTCCGCTAGAGCCGACTCATTCGTGCCGAAGCACGGCTGTCCCACACTAAAGTAAAGTAGAGACAGAAAAGTTATTTACCATAGCTAACTAACTATTATTAGTAAAACATAATTGCATTCAGTTTCATTATAAGAAAGGGTTTTGTATTAAGAGTGAAAAAAAGTTTAAGTACGAACGAAATATAGGTGAAATTTGCATGTGATATTTAGTACTTTTTTTTTTTGTGAGGGGAAAATCGTCAAATAAATGACTTCTCCCGTCCAGGGCCGGGCGGGAGGGAGTGTCAGACTCTTACTGACTAAAAACCCCCCTGTTCCTTCTCCTGCTCTGGGCCGAGTTCGTGGTGCCTCATTGCGCTTACCCCGCAACCCCGGCTGAACATCAGCCCTTTAGGGCCCCGTCTGTGGTGGTCTATTGGCTCTTTGAGGCGCGCGCGGAACGCTACGCGCCGTACGCTCGGACCGGGTTCTGGTCGGGCGGCGAGCTGCCCTTACTCGCCGACCGCAGACCCGTGCTTACGGTGGCCGGAGATCGTCCCTTGATCCCCGACGTCCGTAGTGTCGCCAGTTTTGGCGGCTGGGGCGTGAGGAGGAGGATTGCTCCCTCACGCGGGCCGCCTCTCTTTTTGCGAGCATGACTGCTTCACAAAGGGAGGAGACGGCGTCCCAGTTCCTCTCACTCCGCACCATGGCCTCGACTAAGGCCGGGCGCGAGAGGTCACCGCCGCCGATCACTTCCCTGAGGACACGGCGGTGCTCAGCCCAGGCAGGGCATACCGCTACCGTATGCTCCATCGTATCCTCTAGGTGGTCCTCACAATGACGACACTCGGGCGTTTCCTCCCGCTGGATTTAGTACTTGGGTGGACCGACAACATCTTCAGAGCCGCGAATCTGGGGCCAATGGAAGCAGGTGGCCAGTAGTCGTTCGATGTGGAAGACTAAGGGGGAGGCCTTTGTCCAGCAGTGGACGTCTTCCGGCTGATGATGATGATGATGATGTGATACACATACTAGTTTGTACCCGTGGCTTTGTAAACTTCAATTATGTAAGTATGCAAAATAAACAAAAATGGATTGTTTGGACAAGGTGTTAAGAAGAAAAAAAACATTTAAAATTATTTCCCTGCTTTGAATAAAAAAAACATTTTAAAAAGTTAATGTTCTGTCAGATTTAAAAGAGCGGCTCGGCTCGGCTCTTCCCATAAAAATGACATGTTATATAATGAATCTTGGTGCTCATACGCAAACGCACATATTATAAAAACTAAATGTTAAAACCATTTAATTTAATGTCCATGCGCTTAGTAGTTTTGCTATAGCTATTACTGGAAACAACTATAGCAGCTCACACATAGGTCCCATTACAATAACAATTCAACAATTTTCCGTGATTTTGGTGACTGGGCTTCTCCCAGTTGTACTGTCTCTTCTGTGCCCTAAAGGACCAATTCATTCTGTCTCCTGCATTCAATTTATCGAGGATTTCAGTTTTCCGGTGTTTTCACGGTTGTATCTACTGTAGATCCTGGCTTACAGGAGTTGCAGCGGTTTCGGTAAGTTGTCCCATAAAAAAAAACACGTAGATCATAAATAATTGAAACAAATAAAAACTTGTTTGGTAAAATAATATAATAGTTTCTCACATAACTTCGAAATAATGCGAAAATTATACAAATCTACTTTTTCTACCTTAATTGTAGGAAAATAACAATTTTTTTTCAAATGGATTAGACTTGCGCATTTAAATATTTATTTGCAGCTGATTAATAAGATAATGAGTACCTATATAAATAACATAGCACAAAATGCTTCATTGTTTATCACTGTCATTGAATAAATGTACCTAAATACGAATTTCAATATTTAATAGTAAATGTCTGTCGATCCTAGACGCAGAAATGATCGGAGCAATGACCGAAGAAAATAAAAAAGAATGGCCGAAAAAGTAAAAACTTTTTTTTTGCCTAAATGTTTCTTTGTATAGTAAAGTATGAACGGGTAAACTTAAATATAAGCGCGTTAGAGCCATTTCGGCACTTATGGGTCGGCTCGACCGGAGTGATACAACAGCCTAACAGAAAATAGACGTGAAACAACCACAGCATTATGTCTTCTTAGTCCAGGTTACCTAATACTAAAACAGCCACAATTAGTTAATTGATAATAATTAACGGGAAATTCAAGCCTTAGGCACAGCTCTATTTTTTATTGTTTATGAATTACTTTATTATGTACCATAACCTTAGTCATTAAGATACATACAATAACAACTTATGTTAATTTCGTTTTAGGTAGCAATGACGTATGTTTCGTTTACGACATTGAAACAATTAAACAATGAATT